TAGAAACAAACACAGGGAGGCAGCAAACTGGGGAGATAAAGAAACATGTCCCAAATAAAAGAACAGAACAAAACTCCAGAAAGAGAACTAAACAAAGTGGAGACAAGCAATCTACTACATGCAGACTTCAAAACACTGGTAATAAGGATGCTCAATGATCTCAGGGAGAATGTCAACAAGAAGATAGGAAACATAAACATGGAGATAGGAAACATAAAAAGAGTCAGAAATAAAGAATACAATAACTGATGAAGAGTACATTACAGGGAATCAACAGTACATGAGATGAAACAGAGGATCAAATCAGCAATTTAGAAGATAAGGCAGTACTTCATCTTTTATTATGGCAGAGTAGTATTTTATTGTGTATATATACCACATCTTCTTTATCCAATCGTCTATAAAAAAACACTTTGGTTAAGTGAAGAACCATATGATTTCACTGATATGTGGTATATAAAACTGAAAAAAAAAACCCAGAAGAACAAGAAAAACAAATGAAAAAACAAAAACTCATAAACACTAACAATAGTTTAGTGGTCAACAGAGGGTAAGAGGAGAGGGAAAATGGTAGAAGAGGGTAAATGGGATCAAATATACGGCGATGGAAGGAGAACTGACTCTGGGTGGTGAACATACAATGTGATATATAGATGATGTATTACAGAATTGTACACCTAAAATCTATGTAACTTCACTAACAATTGTCACCCCAATAAACTTTAATTAAGAAAAAAAAAAAGAAAAGAAGATAAGGCAGCAGAAAACACCCAATCAGGACAGCAAAAAGAAAAAATTTAAAAAAATGAAGACAGTTTAGGGGGCTTCTGGGACAACATTAAACCTATCAACATTTGCATCTCAGAGGTACCAGAAGGAGAAGAGAGAGAGCAAGGAATTGAAAACCTATTTGAAAAAATAATGATGAAAAGCTTTCCTCACCTGGTGAAGGAAATAGACATACAAGCCCAGGAAACACAGAGAATCCCAAACAATATAAACCCAAAGAGGCCACACCAAGACACATCATAATTAAAATGCCAAAGGTTAAAGGCAAACAGAGAATCTTAAAAGCAGCAGGAGAAAGGTAGTTACATACAAGAATGATCCCATAAGACTGTCAGCTGGTTTCTCAACAAAAACTTTTCAGGCCAGAAGGGAGTGGAAGGAAATATTCAAAGTGATGCAAAGGAAGGACTTACAATCAAGATTACTCCACCCAGCAAAGCTATCATGTAGAATCAAAGGACAGATAAAGAGCTTCTCAGGAAAGAAAAAGCTAAAGGAGTTCATCACCACCAAACCAGTACTACAAAAAATGTTAAAGGGACTTCTTGAAGAAGAGGAAGAAGAAGGAGGAGGAGAAGTAGAAGAAGGAGAATGAGAAGAAGAAGAAGGAGGAGGAGGAGGAGGAGGAAGAGGAAGAGGAGGAGGAGGAAGAGAAGGAGGAGGAGGGGGAGGAGGAGGANTTAACAACAAGGTTGCCTGTTCGACTCCCTCATGGGATGGTGGGCTATGCTCACCCACAACTAAGATTGAACACGGCATCTTGACCTGAGTGACTGCAAGCTGCCGACAGGTGCCCCGCTGGCAATGGACTTGGAGCTGAGCTTGCTGCGCCCTCCACAACTGGGATTGAAGGATAACAACTTGGCTGTTCCCCTTCCCCAATTCCCCAACACTGTTCCCCTCCCCCAATTCCCCAACACTGTTCCCCTCCCCCAATTCCCCAATTTAAAAAATCTTTAAAAAAATGGTTAAAGTGTATAGTGTAGGGAATACAGTCAATAATATTGTAATAACTATGTGTGGTATCATTTGGGTGTTAGATTCATTGGGGAGATCACTTCATAAATTACACAAGGGATTAACCACTATGTTATACACCTGAAACTAATATAATATTGTATAATTATTTTAAAATAAACTAGAAAAAAATGGTTAAAGGAAATTCTTCAAACAAAAAAAATTCATGAAAGAAGGACTATTAGAACATTAGGAAGGAAAAAAAACAATGAAGAGAGCAAAAATAAGATAGACTATCTTCATGAGTTTTGAAAATTCATTTGGTGGTTGAAACAAAAGTCACAGACTATCTGATGTGGTGCACAAGGCAATGTTATTTTAAAATTGGGGAGGAAAAGGGACCTAAGTAAGGTTTTCCACATTTTTCTTAAAGTGACAAAATGTCGATGCCAGTAGATAAAATATTTATTCATATTGTAATATCCAGAAAAACTGCTAATAAAACTATACAAAATGATATGTTCAAAACACTACAATTAGTCAAGATGGAATCCTAAAAAAAGTTCTAATAATTCACAGAGTGTGTGGCAGAGAGAGAGAGAGAGAGAGAAACAAATGAAGGAAAAACAGAAAAAGCAAGCAGAAACAAATGGCATACATAAACCCTAAATATCAATAACTACTTAAATTAATTAATTAACTAACCAATTAGAAGTTGAAATTGGCAGAATAGGTTTTTTTTAATTAAAATCTATTGGTGTGACAATTTTAGAAAGTTACATAGATTTCAGGTGTACAATTCTTTAATACATCGTTTGTATATCACATTGTGTACTTACCATGCAATAGAATTACCATATGACCCAGCAATCCCTCTCTTGGGTTTTTACCCCAAAACTCTGAAAACATTTAACCATAAAAATATATGTGCTCCGATGTTTATTGCAGCTCTATTTATGGTGGCCAAGACACAGAATAGATATTTTTAAAAAGACCCAAGTATATCTGGCCTATAAGAAACTCATGTCAAATATAATGACATAGGTAAACTAAAAGCAAAAAATAGAAACACACACAAACACACACATACACACACATACTGTTGGTGGTCACTCTCCAAGAACAGGATGGCACCATCCCTCCACCCCTGCCTCACTAAAAATTTGTTCAGATGTCAAGAATGATGACATCATACATACACCAAGAAGGTATGATAGCATTTATTATTCACATAGTGAGGCTTTNGATCACTTCTTAAATTATATAAATGTCTAACCACTATGCTGTACACCTGAAATTAATATAAAATAATATTAAATGTCAACTGTAATTAAAAAATTTTAAAGGGGGAAAATACAAAAAAGAGTGTAAAAGGATGGAGCTTTTGGAGCAATTGAAGTTAAGTTGCTATCAGCTTAAAATGGACTGTTTTATCTATGAGATGTTTTAGCTAAATCTCATGGTAACCACAAAGCAAAAACCTAGAAGTTTCTCAAAAGATAAAAAGAAGGAAATCATAGCATACAATCAGGAAAAATCTCCAATTTACAAAGATAAGCACCAAGAAAGGGAAAATAGAACAATGAAACTGCAAAACAGCTGAAAAGAAATGAGATAAAACTAGTAAATCCTTACATATCAATAACTACTCGACATGTAAATTGACTGAATTCATCAATCAAAACGCACAGAGTAACTGGATGGATAAGAAAAACAAGACCAAACGACATGCTGCTTACAAGAGACTCACTTCTGCTTTAAGAATACACATAGGTGCAAATTGAAGAAATAGAAAAAGATATTCCATGCAAGTGGAGACCAAAAGAAAGCAGGGGTAGTTATATTTATATCAGACAAAATAGACTTTAAGCCAAAAGCAGTAATAAGAGACAAAGATCATTATATGATGATAAAGGGGTCAATTTATTAAGAAAATATAGCAATCATAAATATGCACACCGAACATTAAAGCACCTAACTATATTAAACAAATACTATCAGATGTGAAGGGAGAAATAGACAATACAATAATAGTGGTAGACTCCAATACTCCCCTTTCAGCAATGGACTGTCATTTCACACACAAAAAATCAACAAGGAAATATTAAATTCGAACCATATGTTAAATCAAATGAACCTAACAGACATTTAGAGAACATTCTGTCCAACATCAGCAGAATATATATTCTTCTCAAGTGCAAATGGAATATTCTGCAGGATAGATACATCATATAATAGGCAGTAAAATTAGTCTCAGCAAATTTAAGAAGACTAAAATCATACCAAGTATGTATTCCAACTACAGTGGTATTAAACTAGANGAGATATACTATAAGGTGCATATAGATTTATAATTTTTTATAGATTTTTAGTGAATAAGCTCTTCATGTTTCTGAAATAACTATTCTAATAATGCATTTTTTTCTTAAGACTTTTTTCTTGACTCTAATATATATAATTGTTACAGATATATGTTTACACCATTTTTTAACATTTGTCTGTTATACTTTTCTACTTTTAAAGTGTATCAGTGACTATCTTATGTGTATTACAATTTTCATAAGAATTGCAACAGTTTGGATTTCTTAAAATCCAGTCTGACATTCCTTGTCTTTTAACTGGCAAATAAGTTCTTTTTACATTGATTGTATTACTGACATATTTGATTTACATTAATTATCCTATTATTTTTAAATCCTTCCTAAAATTATCTACTCTATGTTCTATTCTGTTTCATAGAGTAATGTTTTAGTATTTATTTAGAAGTATGCTTTTTTCTAGCAACCTCAGTTATATATTTTTTTATTTTAATTATTTTTTATTATTTACTTTTTATTGTGAAATAAACATTTTTTAAATTAGTTTTGGCTGTACAACACAGTGCAATAGTTATACATTTTACCCTTCAAAGTGACAATCCTCCTGCCCCAATCAGCTGCCCCACTTAATGAACTAACATTTTTTTTTCTTGTGCCTCAAGTTAGCCTTCTTAAATTTTGTGTGTATTTATTTTGGAGGGTTGCACCACAAAGATGATCATGTGATGAAGGAAATATTTGATTCCACTCATCTGCAATTATAAACAATTATTTCCCCATAATCAAAATGTAATGCTATTATCTTTATATAACTTTGACTTTCAAAATTAATCATTAAAACTGGTCAATACTACACAACAATCTGAGATAAAGGCTCCTGTATTCCGGGACACACAAACATGCACCCCTCCCCCACGCCTTCTTCTCCCCACTCACCTCTTATCCATACCCTGGATTCCGTCTCTGGACTCTGGTCAGAGTATTGGATAGAACATAATATGCTCCCAGCATTTTCTTGAATTATAAGGGAAGTCTCCACATCAAACAGGCCACGTCTGTCTGCATTCACCTTTGAGTGTGAGGGCAAATCATGTCCTTGTGGGTCTTTCCACTTCACTGTGGGTTGGTGAAACCAGCCTGAGGACTTGCAGAGTAGTTGGATGCCTCCATCCACATATCCCATGATAGAAACCAGAGGAGCTGAGCCCAATGCTGGGGAGAAGACAGGAAAGGGATGAAAACAAAGATCATGTTCCAAGGCCACAGAAGTTCTGAGCCAGATTCATAAAGCTCATAGAAATAACACATCCCATACTCCCTCTTTCCCTCATTTTCTTTCACATACACATACACACTTATAATACTGCTGTAAGCCCTTCCAATGGTCTTTGTTCAGTTAACATGCACTTAACAACTGCTATACACCTGCATATTCCTAAACACTAAACATGATGTGAATAAGACAGAGCTCCTTCCAATGAGGAACTTTTCAGGAGCTCAGCTGGGGAAGAGAGACCCAAACTGCCAGCTGTTAGATCAGCTAATTAAAGCAACAATGAGCCCAAGTCAAANGAGAGGAACAGACAAGTTGCTGTCCTTTTGTTCTTCAGTCTAGTTGTGGAGGACTTCACTTCACTGGCTCAAGTTGGTATTAGCATTGTGCTCTTCGCAGGTGAGGCAGATCAGTCACCGGCTTCTGGACGGCTGCTCACAGCAGCTCTTGGCAGCTCATGCTGGCTGCCAGCCAGTCACGGTAGCTCACGGAAGCCCACTGCAGCAGGGGCTATAGCCTACACTGTCACTGGTAACTCACGGTAGCCCAGCTCCAGGTCAAGCTATTGTTCACCATCTTAGCTGTAGAAGGCGCAGCGTCACTGGTCCTAATATGGGATCTGAACTGGGGCCCTGCTGTTCAGAGCTGGCATTCCAAGCCAACTCTTAACCAATGCACCACTGGGCCGGCCCGCACATGTAGCATTTCTGATATGTGCATAGACGGGTGTGGTGGGGTGTGTATAGTCATCAGGTAAAAGGGGGTCACAGTGTAAATTTCCCTTTCAATCACGTGGAAATTCACAAAGTGATCACTTATTTTCAAGTAAGTGAATATTTTTATTTTAGAACCCATTATTTCTTAAATATGCTTTATACATCTTCCTAAATGTATTTCGCTCACATGTTTTAAAGGAGAGCCTTATGATGTAAAATGTGACGTTGCAGCAGGATCTCTGTTCAGCCACTGACCTGGCCTAGCAGATGCTGAGTGCTACCCCTCACCCCACCCTGAGCCCTCTGCAGTGGGCTGGGCATGTCCCTGCCCTCTGACAGCCCCACCCAGGAGCCTGGCCTCTGCTCCCTGCTGAGGGCTTTCTCTGCCCCTTGGAACCTGCTCTGTCTGGTGCAGGGCAGCCCAGAAGTGCTGAGAATTTAACAGTAGTGGGGTTTCACATCCCCAGTAGGGGCAGGAGGCAGTGGATGTTGGGATGATTCCAGGTTGCAATCTATGTGGCCCCTTAGAAGGTGTTTCTATGTCAGTAATCTGCTCCTTAGAATACTCTGTTTGGTTTTCCTCCCTTCTGGGTTCACTCTTTCCTCTCCCTCACTTTTGTTCCCAGAATCACCTCCTCACCAGCCCATCTGTACTCAGACCCTTGTTCCTGCTCTGCTTTGGGGGCTCAGCGTAGGTCAGCTGGGCTGCTGCTGTTGGGCCTTCAGGGCTGTGGGGGCTCTTGGACTGAGAGAACCTTTTCCTGGAGTGTCTTTCTTCCTCTGACCAGCCCTTATTGCTGCTTTCATTTCTTTCTTTTTTTTAATTGGGGAACTGGGTAAAGGGAACAGCGCTGGGGAATCTGGGGAAGGGTAACAGACAAGTTGCTGTCCTTTTGTTCTTCATCTAGTTATGGAGGACGTCGCTTCACTGGCCCATGTTGGTATTATCATTGTGCTCTTCACAGGTGAGGGAGATCAGTCGCCGGCCTCTGGACGGCCACTCACGGCGGCTCTTGGTAGCTCACACCAGCTGCCAACCGCTCATGCTGGCTGCCGGCCACACATGGTGGCTTACCGGCAGCCCACTGCAGCAGGGGCTGCAGCCTANTCAAGCCTTATCTGTAAAAGCCAAACCTGGAAACAACCCCAATATTCTTCAGTGGGTGAATGGCTAAACAATCTTGGTATATCCATACCATGGAATACTGCTCAGCAATAAAAGAAAACAAGCTATTGATACAGGCAACTCAAAGGTATGGTGTTCAGCGGAAAAGCCAAACTCAAAGGTCATGTATTGTATAATTGTATTTATGTAGCATTCTAGACAAGACAAAATTATGGAAATGGAGAAGAGATGAATGGTTGCCAGGGCTTGAGGGGTAAGGAGGGGAGTGACGGGGTCAATGTGACTATAAAGAGGGAGATCTCAGTGGTCACAGGCTAGGTCTACACCCTGATGTTGATGTCATGGTGGTTACATAAATCTACATGTAAAATGACACAGAACTATACATATGAGGCAGAATAATAAACAGTTTAAGATCTAATCTCCTAACGAAATGACCTAAGACTTTTTAAAAACCTCCTCATTCAACCAATAGTTCAAAAAGTCCCAGATGGATCTACCAGACAACTAAACTATAAGTTCTCTGAAATAAGCAACTGACCTGACACCTGCAGCTCCCAGATGGCCTCCTGGTCATTATCCTGGGATCTGAACCAGCATCCATAGAGACCAGTGTCTGAGAGAGTGACCTTCTTCAGCCTCAGGGAGACACGCCCCTCTGCTATGGAGTCCTTCAGTAATTCAGTTCTCCCTCGATAGGCTGGAATCTGCCTATGGTGTTGGTCTTTCCCCTCTCTGTAGAGGTGCACCACACCATGGAACCCATCTCTGAAGAACCGCACTTCCATGGCCTCTGCACTTGTCTTAGGAGAGAGGAAGCACGAGAACACTGCGTCCTCCCCAACCACAACCTGGACGGGCTTGTCTGGTCCCATCACCTGCCACTGGCCTGTGGAAGGAAGCACAAGAGATAACTGAGCAAAGACCCTCTCAGTGTGTACTACTCAGGTCCATGTGTACCCAGGGGTGTGACATCCATTGCTAACTCCTTTCCAAACCAGTGACCTGTATCTGTACACCCTTACACTGGACAGAGCACTTCCACATCCATTACTTCATTCTGTCTTCACAAACATCACACAGGCATATGTTATTGATATTCCCATTTCCAAGATGAGAACACAATGTCTCAGAGAGACTAAGTAAGTTAATCAGGAGCATGAGAGCATTTTCCAAATGCTGACCCTCTGACGGGAGAAGAATCTATACCAGCGGTTCTCAACCTGTTGGTCGCAACCACTTTGGGGGTCAAATGACCCTTTCACAGGGGTCACCGGGTACTCGTATGTGGGTGTATCTGCATGTGGGCCTGGAGACGGATAGAGGAGNGTCATTTCATTTAAAGTCACAGTTTCCAAGAACCTATCAATGACATTAAGTGAGGACTTACTGTACTGAAAATTCTAGCTAGAGCAATTAGGCAAGACAAAGAAGAAAAGGTATCCAAATTAAAACAGGAGAGGTAAAATTGTTATGTGCAGGTGATCTGATGTTATATATAGAAAATCCTAAAGATGAAACAAACAAAAAAAAAACCCAAATAAACAAAACTGTTGGAACTAATGAACTATTGACCTTCAAAAAACAGCCAGAAAAAATAAAAACCAGCCAGATGTTTCTTCAGCAAAATGGGTTTATTTGAGAACAAAGAATTGCAAATCAAGACATGAGGTCTAATAACAAACCAAACACGAGCCCAGAGAAGCAAAGGATTTGGGAAGAGCAGCTGTAAATAAAGAGTTCATTGGCGGAAACCGAAAGTTGAAAGTATAGTGACTTTTCATTGGCTGACTTATGGCATTCTCCCATTGGCCCAGCTATTACTGGGCAAGGAGGAATCTTTTCTTACTCCTGCTAAGGTAGTAAAGTAGTAACACTTCCCGTCAGAGGTGCAAGGTACATCCATTCCTGTTAGAGTCAGTCATGTGCATTGAGTGACACACACCCCAAAGTTCTCTCTTCTAGCCTTCTGACTCCACTTTCTGTTCATTGTTATACAACAAATGCAATAAAGTTGCATGACATAAATGCATTGTTGAGAAATCAATTGTGTTTATTATACACTGACAACTAAATATCTGAAAAAGAAAGTAAAATACTATCCCATTAATAATAGCATCAAAAACAGTAAAATACTTAGGAATACATTTAACCAAGAATGCGAAAGTTCTCTACAATGAAAACTACAAGATTTTGATAAAAGAAATTGAAGACACAAACAAAGGGAAAGATATTCTGTATTTGTAAATAGAAGAATTAATATTGTTAAAATGTCCATACTACCCAAAGCCACCTATAGAGTCAATGCAGCCCCTATCAAAATTCTAGTGACATTTTTATTTTACAGAAATATAAAAAAATAATCCTAAAATTTGTGTGGAACCAAAAAGACTCTGAATGGCCAAAGCAATCCTGAGGAAGAACAAGGCCAGAGGAATCATACTTCCAGATTTCAAACTATGCTACAAAGTTATAGTAATTGAAATAGCTAAGCAAAATAAGTCAGACAGAAAAAGTAAAGAACCATATGATTTCATTGATATGTGGTATATAAAACTGAAAAACAACAAAAGAACAAAAAAAAATAAGAGAAGAAACAAATCTCATAGATACAAGCAATAGTTTAGTGGTTACCAGAGGGTAAGGGGGGTGGGGCGTGGTAAATGAGGGTAAAGGGGATCAAATATATGGTGATGGAAAGAGAAATGATTGTGGGGTGAACACACAATGTGATATATATATGAGGTATTACAGAGCTGTACACCTGAAATCTATGTAACTTTGCTAACAATTGTCACCCCAATAAACTTTAATTAAAAAAAAAGAAAAACAAACAGTATGATACTAACATAAAAATAGACACATAGACCAATGGAACAGAATCAAGCCTAGAAATAACCTCCCACATATAGAGTCAACTAATATTTGACAAGGGTGCTAAGAACATTCAATGGGGAAAGGATAACCTCTTCAATAAATGATGTTGGGAAAACTGTATAACCACAGGCACAGAAATAAAATTGGACCCCTATCTTATCACTCACAAAAATTAACTCAAAATGAATTAAAGACTTAAATGTAGTACCCTAACAAAATAAAACTCCTAGAA